AAAACCAACACTCGTATCAAAACCAACACTCATATCAAAACCAACACTTGTATCAAAACCAACACTTGTATCAAAAACAACACTTGAATCAATAACAACACTCGTATCAAAACCGACACTTGTATCAATAACAACACTTGTATCAATAACAACACTTGTATCAATAACAACACTTGTATCAAAACCGACACTCCTATCAAAACCAACACTTGTATAAAAAACCAACACTCGTATCAAAACCAACACTCTTATCAATAACAACACTCATATAAAAAAACAACACTTGTATCAAAAACAACACTAGTATCAAAACAAACACTCCTATCAAAACCAACACTCGTATCAATAACAACACTTGTATCAAACCAACACTCGTTTCAAAAGGCAGCTTGCTCAGTCTCCTCCCCCTCTCCCCACCCCACCAGCTGCTAGTCTATACGCAGGCATCCCACAGATATTATTTTTCTGGATCTACAAAATTTAATCCCCCTCTCTGTTTTGGAATTTAACGGAGCATTGCACACAACAGAATATGGCAACTGCCAAAAATATATGCTGCAGTTTAAAATGTTTATATTTCATAAAGAAATATAGGTCAAACAATCATCACAAAATAGTTTACATGGCCAAAAAATATTTCACAGATGGACATTTAAAAATAATTCAAAAGACCAAAACAATATAGTTCATAATAGTTCAATTAAAAAAAAGTAGTTCAAATGAGCAAAAAATAATTCAAATGGACAAAAAAATATACGTTCAAATGAGCAAATAACTAGCTAAAATGAGAAAAACAATTAGTTCATTTAAGCAAAAAAAATAATTCAAATGAGCAAAAAAAATCATTTTCAAAGAATAAAAAAGATAGTTCAAAGTTCTCCGTCTAAAACATTTGAATCTTGCTTCTGAAAATAGAAACCCGGTTGTTTAAGTTGAATTCTTATGGATTGAATAATTATTTCCAGATTTGAGTGTTCACTGGTTAAAACGTTTTACTGTTCAATATTTTCCTTTGTTGTTATGGTACAGTGGTAGAATGCTGGAGTATTCTTTGGTTTGGACTTTGCCAAGATGATGGGGTGGTAAAGATAACATTGCATGGGATAAAATTGGCAGGTAGATCTACAGGCAACAAATACTTATTTTTACTGAGAACATTTTATTTGATAATTTTCATTAAATAAAGGATTTGAGTTTTCGCCACAACTCCGATTTACTAATCCCTATTTCTTTATAACCGCATTTTGTAGATATTTCAAACTATAAATTCTAGTATAGATCAAATAGTGTGGATTTAAAATATCTTAAGTGTTCTGCTTTATACATAATCACTAATCAGGTTGTTAAAAAGTAGGGATTAGAAAACTCAATTCCTTTACTTTTTTCAAACAACATTGTATGACATTCATAAAATATTTCTAACTATTTTTCTAATCAATTTCTTCCTTATATAATTTAAATAAACTGTCAAATTTTGACAGACGGCAATAGATAGATAGATGAATTCAGTTTTAAAGTTCTAACAAATATTACCCATTTCAACTCTAAAAACAAAAAGACAGATATTATTTTCTGTTTTTAGAGAACAAACGGAAAAATATACTTTTAGTTTTGATAAGAGAAAACTTTTTTTGAATATTTGTTGTTTTGAAACGGAAAACTATTTTTATTGAACCCTGTTTCAAAACAAAAAACTATCTTTATTTTACATTGTTTCAAAACATTGATGGCAGCATGAAATCCAAAGATAATCTTCATGCCGTCTCTCAAGACTCTCAACTGCAGACATGTTCCTAGAGGACAACCTGTAATTAAATTCATGGCCCTACATCACAAACTTGTACTTTCCTAAACTTCTTTATCTTTAACAGATTAGCATGTCTTAATCTGGATTTTTACATATAACAGATTTTAACATCAAGGGATTAAAACATTTATTCCATGAAAATACACTTATGGTATGGAAGCCTCTTCAATCCACTTATTGACCAAGACTCCTATTTTCTCCCTTGCCTGCACCAGTCCCTCAGAGTCCCCAGGTGAGTTGGAGTACATGTCATTACAATGAGATGTTCCTTCAATAAAGATGGATGTAGCACTTTCACCAAGATCCTCAAGTACCCCCATTGCATGCCAGGGATCAATGGATCCATGCACAAATACAACATTATTAACCACCGGGTAAAATCCTCCATACTCAGTGTTAGTGTCAATCATTTCCTGTTCAAGCTTCTCATGGGTCCAGTCCAGCTCGCTAAATGCATCAGCACACCAGGATTCAAAGAACTCCAAGTCAAGAAGCCGACCGTACACCTCTTCAGGTTGATTGGTTGTCTGGTACCAACCAAACTCAGTACAAGTTTGCCAAATCCATTGCCTCCATCCAACACCCTCTCCAGCAAACGAGGTATCAGTTAGAAGAGCCAAGAATGAGGAATACTCATGATCAAGACACTCTGCACCATTGTTTGCAAGACTCAAAGAATTAACCTTTGCAAATCGTTCAATTGGTTCTCCGTAGGATTCATCTCTCATAATGTCACAGACCTCAAAAATATCCATTTCAAGAAGTCCATTGTACTGAACAATGCCAGCCAAATTGTCAATAAGTAGTTCAACAAATGATTTAACATCTTTGCTGTTTCCAGTCAATGGCTTGCAAGTCTTGAACATTTCAGAGAGAAGATCCCAAGAAAATTCATCTGCCAGCAGTATTTCAATAGTCTTCAATGCTTCTGTTATGGCTTCATTGCAACCAGCTCCAGTTGTTTCCAAAGCACTTTTTACAACTCCAAGGTATTCATGGAAATCCAGTTTAGCATTAAGAGGACCTGAGCTTGACACAGCGCCAGCTAAAAGATGAGGGTATTTAAGCTTTAACCAAGCAGAAAGTGACCCAGGATAGGAACCTCCAAAAGACACCCAAGGCCCAGTGATGTTATGTGTCATGCTCATGGAGGTCATGAAAGTGGCAAGATCTTCCAATGCCTGTCTAGAACTCAAGTATCTCATGTTCTCTGTAGCCATATCTTCAGTGGGTTGACTTTGCCCGTAAAATCTATGTTCTAGAAGAAAGAGAGCAGCGTTATTTTCTTCTGCATATTTGGTCCAGATTCCATAATTTAGCCAACCTGGAGAAGCTTCTCCTTCACCTCCAATCATAATCAGAGCTGGACCACCCTCCTCATAATGAGCAAAGTTGTACCAGTACCTCTGTCTCCAAAGTGGAGAGCCAGTGATATCAAAATGATCCAGTTTCTGATCATACCACATTTCATCAAACTGAGCCTTGTTAACAGATTCAGGTGGGTTGATAATCTTTTTGGATCCCCTCAAAGCCAAAGAAGTCCCCAGGGCAGCTAAAAATACTAGAAGTCTCATCTCAGTGGTAAAATTTAAACTAAGATATGAATTTTTTATCTTATCAGTGGAGACAAGAAAATGCAAGCCCTGTACAATCACAAGTTTTAAAATATGACGTAAATTAAGGTCTACAGTCGAACAAACAATAATGATGAGTTTGAGAGATAACTATTTCAAACTGAACTTATCATAATTACTAGTTAAAAAACTAGGCTTTTAAGGCACTTCGCCCGGCCTCCCCTTGCCATATTTACAATTTTAGCTATAAACTCTGAAAGTTGTCATTTTTAACAGTTATCAAATTTTCAATGATTTTCCCATTTAAATTGGGGCAATTTGAAAAATAATAAATTTCCACTTTATGCTGGGCAAAATTTTCAACTTCAACCAGCCATGTAAGTGTGTTTTACGTATACCCCTTGGGAGGTCTGGGTCTCCTAAATTGGGGGTGGGGGGGGGGCTCACAGATTTAATCTCTTTATCTTCATCTTTTATTCCTGGGAAAACGTGAGTTGCCTCAAAAATGTTGAGCTAAGTCGTTTAAGCCGTTTTTACGCTTATTGGATGCAAAGAAAACAAACAGATAAACAAAGTTTATAGGTAGATGCAAGTTAAAGAATGTAACCTTAAAAGTTAATCCTCTTTGACCTAATCTTCAGTCCTGAGCACATGAATGTACATACAATGATGGCCCATGCTTTCTGATCTGCCATGGTAGCTTGTAAATGAATGAATGACATAATTTTTTAAAAAATAATAACATTCTTTGGGATTATGTTAAAAAGTTTTCAATTACAAAAAATGTATATTCATCAACCATTCTAAAATTAAGTATTTAATCAAAATAAAACAAAAATCTTAATAAACCTATTTCTTCTTCTTCAGAAACATGTTCTGCACTGCCTACAATAAACAATGAATTAGTTATTTTGAAATTTGGTCAAACTTGATCATCTAGACAAATAAAAAAGAAATTTTTTAAACATAAAATTATCAAATTCGATTAAAGGCAACATTTAAAAAAGATTATTTTGCAAGTAAAGACAATTTAAGCTAAAAGTTGTACCTTAAAAGTTTCTGGGCTAGCCCATTGTTCCAGTAATAGATCACATTCTTTCCTATCATAATTTTGATACAGTAAGAACCAGAAAACTGTAGATTTCTTGTCGTCTTCTTCTATCTATTGGTTGTGAAATGTCACTAAGAATGTAACTATTTATAAAAAAGGATTATGAACAACAAAATCCTTTGCAACATTTCATTAGCAAAAGAAAAAGAAACGACGACATTCACTGCACAGTTTAAAACTTTTCACTGTAATTACTTCAATACTTCAACAAAAGAAAAAAGGAAAAATGGTCTATCCCTTTGGAAAGATATTACATTGTTTCTTCATGTTTTAACTCCTAAAGCCAAATGGCTGTTACAATATCCTGTTAAACTCCAATGGCTAACTGTCATGGTTTACAGATGAAAGCATCTTTGTAATTGACCGTTTTATGCTAATTATTAACAGTTTTACCACTGTATCTGTAAAACCATGTCCTGCTGTACCCCTATGACCTGCTGTTACATGTTAACAGCTGTATGAGTGTCCTCCTGTACCCCTACGACTAGCTGTAACCTGTTAAGAGTTGTTAGAGTATCCTGCTGTACCCCTATGACTAGCTGTAAGCTGTTAACAGCTGTAAGAGTATACTGCTGTACCCCTATGACTAGCTGTTACCTGTTAAAAACTGTAAGAGTTCCCTGCTGTACCCCTACGACTAGACGTTATCTGTTAACAGAGGAAAGAGTGTCATGCTGTACCTCAATGACTAGCTGTTACTTGTTAACAGCTTTAAGAGTGTCCTCCTGTACCCTTATGACTATCTGTTACCTGTTAACAGATGAAAGAGTGACATACTGTACCCCAATGACTAGCTATTACCTGTTAACAGCTGTAAGAGTGTTCTCCTGTAGCCCTATGACTAGCTGTAACCTGTTAATAGCTGTAAGAGTATCCTGCTTTACCCCTATGACGAGCTGTTACCTGTCAACAGCTGCAAGAGTGTTCTGCTGTACCTCTTTGACTAACTGTTACCTGTTAACAGCTGCAAGAGTTTCCTGCTGTACCCCTCTAATCAGCTCTTTACAATTGAGTAGAGATTGTTTTGGAAGTTTAGAATATTCAACCAGTTCCTCCCAAATATTTTCCAATTCCTAATTTTAAGAAAAATCTAACTCATGAATAGTTAACACCTTAAATAAAGTGCAACATTTTAAGACCGTTGCTTTTTTAGATTTTAGGTGGGTTTAGCAAAAAAGCCCTATAGGCTAATGAGTTTGTCTGCTGTGTCACACGTTTTTAACTCGGTCATAAATATATTTGTAACTAATTTTTTAGAATATGTTTTTACTGTTAACGTCCACCATAATTATTATAAAGATTTAAAAAATTAAGATTCTTATTTGAAGTTGATAATAAGAATATTTTTAAGTAATACCTGATGTGGAATTACTCGTGTTACTAATCCCAGGTGTTCTCCTTCAAGAGCATCAACCTAGTTTGTTATCATCAAAAAGGGACTGTAGACATCATTTCGAGTGACCCTTCATTTACGACATGTCCGATTCACAACGGTTCCCTTTAAATCGTTGTTTAATCATGGACAGCAGAGATTTTCGCATATTTATCTCTAAAAATTGTGTGAAAACTAAACACTACTAATATGAGTAATAAAAATAAGTTAGACGCAGCTAGGTAAGCTAACTTAAAGGGACTGTAAAGGAAAAATGAAAGGGGGTATAGGCTGAAACCTGAGAATCTCAGGAGTTTAACGATAACATAAGAGTTCTATCTGATGTTTCTGTCTCGAGAAATTGATATAACACTGTGTCAAAATTATACCAAAACGCATATATGTAAGATTTTGAACAAGATTCGTAATATTAAATAGATTATTTTCAACAAATACACACCAATCTGAAAACAACGATTTCCCAGAGGAGCCTAAGAAACTCAAGTTTGCTCCTATTATTATTTGAATTTAATAAGTTTTCAGTTTTAATAGATATAATTGATAATATTATTCATGCGTCCGAAACATGTCACCAGAACTCCAACCAATGCAGTATTTTTGTCATGTGTCTCCGTCTGTATCATGTGACCAGTATACTGCACTGCCGTTGGAAGGAGTTCTGGTCATGTGATATGAACGTATATCTTACATATATACGTTTTGGTATAATTTTGACACAGTTTTATGTTATTTTCTCGAACAGGAACATCAGCTAGAACTCGTATGGTCTCGTTCAACTCCTGAGATTCTCAGGTTTTAGCCTATACCTCATTTCATTTTTTCTTTACAGTCCCTTTAAACCACAAAATATTCTAATTCTCTTCCCACCATGGTTTTCAAAAAATTGAATTAAAATAAACAAACTTATCATTAATTACTAGGGTTTCCATCGATAAAATAAGGATAAGTCGTCATACTTTATCAATAAAATATTTAAAGGGTAACATTGGGAATCGGACACACCACCATTACAAATTCGGAAAAAGGAATTGAGTTTTTGCCACAAACTCAAATTTTCAAATCCTTATATCTTGGCAACCTAATGGTGGAAAACCTTGATATTTTAAACTTAGGCTATTTGATCTAACAGAATTCATAGTTTGAAATATCTAACGTCTACGAAATTGGATTGCAAAGATATAGAGATTAGTTTGTGACAAAGAGTCAATTCCTTTGTCCCCCTTTAATCTGAGGTGACGTCATAATTGTCGGACAATTGTCCCAACTTTAAAAATCATACTGCAAATTGTCGGAGAAATGTCTCGGCGGGCAAATAGAGGGTCATTTATAAGGGAATGACTTACCTAATCAATAAAACACATAAAACCCCAATTTTTGGAATCTTTTTTATAAAAATGGATGATTTTTGAGATGAAAAATAAATATTAACTATTACCTTCCTTCCAAAATATAAAAGTTCTGCAGCTTTGGCGGGTCCCATTAATCTAGAAAAAATATTTTTAATATTTTTCAGTCAAAAAACTTATTATGCTTTAATGGTGAAATTTTACTTCTCCTTTTATCAGCAAAATATTTCCTAGCGGAAGTGCAGGGCGTTGCCCCTGCAGTATCTCAAATATCGCCAACACTCTGCAGAAAATACCTCCTGCGCTGGAACAGTTAATCTGAGGAATTCTGTGTTAACAATATCCAGAGGGGAAACGTAACAAATAATGAAATTGTATTTTTGTTACAACCCGTTAACTGTTACAGTTTGGTCAGTTGTAGTTAACTTTCTCAGAAGTATTTCTGATTTAAAAAGGCAGTTAAACTTAAATGGGATGATTTATCTCTCATCAGGAAGTTAAGTGTGTATTCATTTACAGTACACAATATACTACAGGATATACGCTCCTTAATATTTATATAAGGAAGGAAAATTCAATGGCATACTTCCTGCAGTATAACCGTGTACAGTATGTAAACATAATCTCAACTTCCTTATAGAGAGATAAATTAACCCACAAGAAGGTTAAACTACCTTTTTAAATCAGAAATACTTCTGAGGAAGTTCTGTTCTGGGGCGCAGAAATACAATGTAAGATTTAATGAATAGAAACATATTTACCTAGGAAAGGTGTATGAGGAACATCCCTCTGGGCCCTGGCCTAGCCTCACAAAGGGGAAGGAAAAGGTAGCTCTGAAATTATGAAAATATGATTTAAGATTTGAGTACATTATTTCAAGTGACCTTCCATTAAACGAGTGGCATGTCCAATTCGCAAAGGTATCATTATAAGCTTAGTCTGATTGAGAATGAACAAGATATCAATGTTTTCGATTTTGAAAACTGCTTATCTTCATGTGCGAGTTCTCTGCAAAAGTCAAGAGCATCACTTTCCGTAAAATCAATATAATTAAACAATCTTCAAGCGTTATGTTCTAAATTATTAGTCAGATTAAGGTTTCAAGGGTACTGTTTGAGAATTGGGTCACTTAATATTAGAGCGACATTTAATGGTTCATGGTTTCATTTCATTTTAATCATTATAAAGCGTTAATAGTCTTCTTTCTCTTTTAAATAAAACTAAACTATAATTAATACATGAGTAATGAGCAAATATAAATTTGTTTTATCTTAAAATTCGGAACAGTTTGAGCTTTAAAAATATAGAAAAGCAACTATAAGAATTTGCGTGGTGAATGTTCCAACTGTAGTTATTGGAACCAAGTCATATAGATTCTAAAGTTCTAGAGTATTCCATATAAAGACTAATGTTAACTAAGCAGGCACAACTTCTCCTAAAATGGTAGACTTTATCAACGACCTGAAACTTTAAGGTTGAATTTTTAACTTGAACGTTTAAAGAATACAGACTTGTTAGTACCTTCACCAGTTCACATTATTGTGTGCTGCCTTTTAGAAGTTTTAAAAACCTAAAAAGTTTTAAAAACCTTAAAAGTCTTAAAAAACGAACCAAATTATTTCCACAGGTCATGGCCCAGAATTTTCCATGCATCATAAACTTATGAAGTCTTTATATAAATTGACATTAGAAAACAAGTCCGTCTGTACTAAAGTTCAATTTAGAAAATATGTATATTTTAGAAGATGAAACTTAAAAACTATAAAAATGCATTTGGAAAAGCGTTCGAAATATGAATACAATTATAATATACTAGCTTAGGAACCCAGCACTGCCCAGGTTACTTAAAGTTACTTCCACCGTTCACCCGCACTTAGACGATTTTACCGGGAAACTAAATTTTCGCTGTTAAGGTCAACCCACTCAACTTAGAAGCTAAGAACATTCCCGGGGCTCTCCCAAGTTCCCCAATCAAAATTTGAGGCAAATCGGTCCAGGGGTTCCTGAGTTTTGATCGGACGAACAAACAAACAAACAGAAAAACAAAACAGAGATTACAACTTTATATTTAAAGATACCTGTCAGATGCATAAACTAAATCCATGAGACCAAGTATAGAACCACCTAAATATACAATAAATATAAATTGTTGTAAAATTATAAAATTGTGTAGTTGACAGTTTTTTCTTTAGATTTCATAAACTAATAAGAATAAGAAGTCAAATTTAAAAAAAATTGTATTTTTGCTTTACTATAAACTGCTAAAAAGTGTAGAACAGTAAAATTTTAAGGATTTTTAGAAAAATTAAATGTTATAAACGGCTGCAACTGCAACTGATGTTCATGTTGGATCTGCTCCGTGTAAACTGTTAACGTACTGCAACTTATCTTTACAATGTTAGATCTGTCCTGTGTAAGCTGTTAACGTACTGCAACTTACGTTTGCAATGTTGGATTTGTTCTGTGTAAACTGTTAACGTACTCCAACTAATGTTTACAATGTTTAATCAGTGCTGTGTAAACTGTAAATGTACTGCAACTAATGTTTGCAATGTTGAATCAGTATTGTGTGAACTATCAATGTACTGCAACTAATGTTTACAATGTTGAACCAGTGTTGTGTGAACTATCAATGTACTGCAACTACTGTGTACAATGTTGAATCAGTGTTGTGTGAACTAATGTACTGCAACTAATGTGTACAATGTTGAATAAGTGTTGTGTAATCAGTGCAACTAATGTTTACGATGTTAGATCAGTGCTGTGTGAACTATCAATGTACTGCAACAATTGTTAACAATATTAAATCAGTGTTGTGTAAACTGTTAACGCACTGTCACTAATGTTTACAATTATGGATCGGTTATGCGTAAACTGCTAAAGCACTGTCACTAATGTTTAAAATAATAGATCAGTGATGTGTAACCTTTTAACGTACTGCATATGTTTAAAATATTTGATCAGTGCTGTGTAAACTGTTAACGTACTGCATCTAATGTTTTCAATGTTTTTTTCAATGATGTGTGAACTGTCAATGCAATGCAACCAACCTATTCCTATGGCTGGTCCATTAACAACCCCTACAAGGGGTTTGGGGAACTGAATGAAGGACTCCACGAACTTCTGGAGCATATCTCTGCTCTCCTCTGCCATCTCACGGAGCTCGTCTTCCGTCTTTAAATCATAATAAATAACTATTAAAATAGAACCAAAACCAGTTTTTTTTCAGGATCAAACAACAGCTTCAGGAAATATATTTATCACCAACTTTAAGCATTTTGAAGAAAGAGATTATTTTGGGGAAAATGATAACATTTTTGGCGTTTCCAGAACAGTTAATGACAAGTGTTAAAGTTTCATAATGGATTTATAAAAAGAATAGCACTGATAACAAAAAATGCCCCCCCCCCCTTGGGCATATAGAATTAAAAACTGTTTTTGCTAATAATCTTTCTCACGTCTACCTGAGGTATCTTTTCAAACATGTTTAAGTCATTTCCACTGCTGAAATACTCCCCTGCTCCAGTCACAACTGAAAATGATTACAAAATTTTTTTCTCTATATTTTCTTATTTTGAAGAGTATTTTATTGTCATAATAACACAAAATTTAGAAGTAAAAAACAATAATATTCCATTGTTCTGGCTTTAGAACATTTAGTTGTTTTGTGTAGTTTTAACAGTGTGAAGGACTTTGTAACAGAAAACAATCAAAATAAATTTCTAAATACTAGCCTTATAGGGCGCTTCGCGCCCATCTTCTAAATTAATTGTGAACATGTTCTCTTTGTGTACATCGTAAAACAAAACAAAAAAATTTCGTGGATTTTCAAAATTTTCAAAAATTTAATGAAGATCAAATTTTGATGGAGACAAATATTTGAAATTTTGATCATTCATAAACCTTCCCTGGGGTCCCTAGATGTCCCACAAAAAATTTGGGCTCGATCGGTTCAGCCGTTTTGACGTTTATTGGATACAAACAAACAAACAAACAGACAAACAAACAGACAGACAAGCCAAATTTATATAAAGATGTAAATTAATTTCACCCTATTATGTGGTTAAACAATACAATTTTTGTCCTGTACTTTAACTTAAAAAGCGTATTTTTTTAAATAAAAACAACAAACATGCATATTTATCTCTTAGTTTAGTTTCTGGATTACTCCATGGACCCCTAAAGGGCTGTAGTAGGTTGGCGTAATAAATATGCAATAAAAATTTCTTGTTTCTCTAATGTAAGTAAAATTATGCAATATCTGTAAAGATCATATATAAGATGGGTTTTCTGTTTTATTTTTATTGCTTCTATATAATTTCGAATCTTTGATTGTTACAACGAAACATTCAGTTCCTGTTCCTTAAAAACTGGTCGTGGGGAGAGACTTATTTAATAAAAATTTGTTTGTACAATAGAACAGTGTAAAGAACAAAAACGCACAGCAAATTCTGAGTACACTTTAAAATCTGTAATCATAGCTTTCATTTGCAGACAAAAGCAACTTTTCCAGGGATCACTTGGGAGGCAAGAAACCATTATTCCAATGAAAATGTTGGTAACATATCATCAAGATTTAAAGTTGTAATCTCTGTTTGTTTGTCCGATCATAACTCAGAAATCCCTGGACCGATTTGCCTCAAATTTGAATGGGGAACTTGGGAGAGCAACAGAAATGTTCTTAGCTTGGTTTTGAGATTAAAAACTAAGTAGGTCCACTTGTATAGAGAAAAATATCTAAAATATTAATTTACGGCAAAGCGCGGGTAAACTGTAGGATTCCCAAGCTAGAAGATAGATAAAGTCGTACCGTACCTGTGATTACTGTATTACTGTCTGATGCTGCTAGCTTTAATTCTTCACGTAAACCCACGTACATAGACTGGACAGTATACATGATCAGATTATGTTCAGTGCTTATATAAGATTCAGGATATAAACGAGGGGAATTACTTTTTTTTTGGGGGGGGGGGGGGTTATCCTTTAATATGTATTCATAAAGCATCTAGAAGAAGATCTTAAATCTGAAATCTGAAATATTCAAAAAACAATCTTTTTTTAAAAAACTTTTTAATTATTTCAAAATCTCTTACTAATAAGAGATGTGATCAATTCCTTGTTGAATGCATTAAGTTTCTTGGGTCTGTTCAGTTTTATAATCCTTAGTCCCTCCCTCTGATCTATTTCGAGTCCTAAATAATCAATAATAATGAAAATGTTAATTGTGTGAAGGCGCCTTCTTCTCAAAATCCACTGTTAGCATAAGTTTGTCTCACGATTCTTGTGTTTTGTGGACGCACAAAGTTGTAAACTGTAAAGGGGTTAGCCTCTAAAAGTTGCCCTCTGTAAGGACTTTAAAAGTTTTTCAAATAAAAACAATTCAAAGATATTGGCAATTGAATGCCGGCATTGATTATAATCATTCTAAGTGTTAAACTTTGTGAAGTAAAACCTAGAAAGGTACACTGAAGTGGTGCAGTAGCGTTTTATCAAGGCAGGGGACGGAAATGATATATTATCAAAATTATTATTTTATACATTGTATTGATTCAGGGTTAGCTTAACTGAGCCGAGCGCTGTGGCAAGAATGTTACCAATAATACGACCTATACAGCTCCAGTGAAACTATGTAGGTTAAATATACGATGGGCTAGTCCCCCAGCCCATCCCGTTCAAATTAATACAATTATTACTTAGAGCCTCATACCATCATGATTGCTTGTAATGCTCAGACTTCGCACTGTTCCTACACGATATAGAGGTCGTTGTAGGAGACTTAGACAACTCATTTTCTTGTCGAAGAAGTCCTCTAAATTGACTTATGTCGACTTTCAAGTTGAACTTTGTGATGTTTGAACGTTCGTCAGAGTACATTTTTAAAGTACACAATGAACCCAAATTATGTATTCCAACATTTTTTTTTTATAAATTTAATATTAAGTAAAATTGATAAAGGTCATTAAACAAATTTAACAAATATTTGTCGAGAGAATTTATCCCTGTTTTCAAAATATGTTCTGCGCCTGCGTCAAAGCAGACGAAACAGACGAAGTACGCATGCGTATTATGCAGCTAGTTTTCAACAAAGCAAATCAGCTGTTTAATAAAACAAACACTGCAGTAAAGTAAAGAAACCCAGTAACTGCGAAATAATGAAATAATATTAATTAAAAATGTCACACTCTCGACTTGGTTTAGCGGATGGGTGGGGACAAATACAAAATTTAAGATTTAATCAAGAAAAATCTTCGTTTGTTTCATGTTTTCAGGTAATCTTAATTATTAGGAATTATATTTTTTACTTTATATATTTTTTGTTATATTTAGGATGGGTTCAGAGTGTATAATATAGATCCTATTAGAGAGCAAGCACACTATGGGGAAAAACAGGTGAACGATCAAATCACATATTTTACGTAACATTAATTATTAGCCTTAGCTTGAGTTGAATTGATTTGATTTGACAGATAATGAACACGCTAGACGGTAATATTTTCAACAAAATCAACATAAGAAAATGTTTAATAGGTTGAAAATAAATTGTTGTAAAATTATAAAATTGTGTAGTTGACAGTTTTTTCTTTAGATTTCATAAACTAATAAGAATAAGAAGTCAAATTTAAAAAAAATTGTATTTTTGCTTTACTATAAACTGCTAAAAAGTGTAGAACAGTAAAATTTTAAGGATTTTTAGAAAAATTAAATGTTATAAACGGCTGCAACTGCAACTGATGTTCATGTTGGATCTGCTCCGTGTAAACTGTTAACGTACTNATTTATGTACTGTTGTAGAGGTGTATATCCACCTGAATATTTATGTACTCTTGTACAGGTGTATTTCCACCAGAATATGTATGTACTCTTGTACAGATTATATCCACCTGAATATTTATGTATCTTGTATACAGGTTAAATCCACCTGAATATCTATGTACTGTTGTACAGGTTATATTCTCCTGAATATATACGTTTGTACAGGTGTATATCCACCTGAATATTTATGTACTCTTGAACAGGTTATATCCACCTGAGTATTTATGTACTGTTGCACAGGTGTAACCCACCTGAATATCTAACTACTCTTTTACATGGTAAATATCCACCTGAATATTTATATACTCTTGTACAGCTATATATCCATCTAAATATTTATGTACTCTTGTAAAGGTATATATCCACATGAATATTTATGTCCTCTTTTAGAGGTGTATATCCACCTAAATATTTATGTCTCATGTACAGTTATTTATCCACCTGAATATTTATGAACTCTTGTACAAGTATATATCCGCCTGAATATTTATGTACTCTTGTACAGGTATAAATTCACCTGAATATTCATGTACTCGTGTACAGGTATATATCTACCTGAATATTCATGTAATCTTTGTAAACTGTACACTGTAGTACATGAATATTTATATACTGTTGCACAGGTTGGCAGTGTCTCAGTAGCAGAACTGTTGTACCGTAGCAACCTCATTGCTGTTGTAGCAGGAGGCAGAAATCCAAAGTAAGTTAACATACTTGATAAAGAGAATATGGACTTAATTTCAAGTGAAATTTCATATTATAGATTGGCATGTACGATTCACAACGGTACTCTTAAACCCCCGATCTGAGCAAATAATGTGGAAGATATTGTGTTTTTTCGAGCTTGAAAAGTTTTTATTTCTGATAATTTTTCATATTTAACGCCGTGAATCAGACTTCCCAATCTATAACTGTCGGGTTGCTCGAAAGTATGCCTATAGTCCCTTTAATTTCAACTAAAAATAAAAAGTTTTAAAAAGCTTCTAGATGCCAGATTTTTTTTAACCGGTGTGTTTTTGAATACTTAATACTTTTTATAACTATAATTTATTTTCTTAATATTCTTGTTGATTCATTTATGTTAGTTTAATAAGAAAAAGTAGAAAACACGTTTTAAGAGTCAAAGAAAGAACTATTGATGCTTAAGTTCACGTTTATTAACAAAATAAATAAAAAATAACGGTTCTCGATCAAAAACTAAAATTAGTTTTCTCTTAAAATCTAGAATTGTTTAATTTTTCAGGTATGCTGATAATTCTATTATGCTCTTTGATGACAGATCAGGTATAGATATGTGATAATAAATTAAAGAAATGAAAGAAATTTTTTGGGGGGTATATTTTAGCGATTTTACTTCATCTTGTTTTCTTTCATTATTATTCAACAATTTATTTCTCTTAATTTGGATTTTCTTTACAAACTGATTTAAAGAACTGCATCTTTTTTGATTCTAGAAGGGGTTTCTAGATCAGGTTTCTATTTGTTTCTTGTCAGACGCGTTTTATACAGAATTGTAGGAAATGATAAAATGTATTTTCCGTGTTTTTGTCTAGACAGGATTCGCCACAATGGGTAGGGGGAGTGCTGATTGGTGGGATTGCCTGGGGCCAGGAACAACCCCAGCGATTCTCTTTGAGTAATAAAATAGCCGCATTCATACGTATTTTGGAGGTTTTTTTCTGTCTGATTTGTTTTATTTTGTTATTTTTAGGAAAAGCCGTTCTTGAAGTCACCCTTCCTTCTCCTGTGCTTGCAGTCAGGTATAATTTATTCTCTAATGGGGAGAGGGGTGGGGGGAGTTCCCCCTCGGCCCAACTACCGGTTAAATCCTAAGTCTTGCTAATATTATTTTTAACGTTTATTTTCGTACACAAGGATTGAACAATAAAATTAGGACAAAGATATAAATGAAACAATCCTAGTCCTGCCATTTCCGAAATATGGTCTGCCCTTTTTCTGAGTTCATAAGTACCAAGTGATATGAAGAATTTTCTTTAACTTTTACTTAATTATATAATTTTCTGATTCTAATGAAATCATTCATATCTCCAGTGATTTTGAAAGCACAACAAAGGCAGCTGACACATTTTGGAAATGGCAGGACTAGGGCTATTTTATGGTCATTGCTTCTTTAACAATATTTGTAAAATTGGTTAAAAATTAATGCCGTAAACTATTATAAAGACGACGCAATTGTCAATAAATTTCACTTCTTCGAGAATAACACTGTATATTACTGTAGGATGAGGTTGGATAAGGTAGTTGCTGTGTGTAGAACTAGTATTCATGTTTTCTCCTTCCCTTCAAACCCTTCAAAACTATTCTCGGTGGACACCAGGGATAACCCTCATGGTCTCTGCGAGGTATGATATCGTGCAAAAAAAAAATAGAATTTTATTTAACTTTTAAAGCGTTTTTATATTCTAATCAATATTGAACAAGTTTGAAGGGACTGTAAGCGTAATTGCAAGTGGCCCTACATTCCCTCCGTCCAGCACACGTGACACACTTGAATTTGCAGCTGAACAAAAGCAGGTTTCGAGAAGTCTAAACACAAATATCTGTGTACTCGACGAGCACAAATGATTTAAGGGTACCGTTGTAAATCTGGCATTTCCCTCATTGCATGCAGGGTAACTTGAAATTTCACATACTGTCCCTTTAATCTTTTTTAAAAGATGCAAAGCTGTTTAAGAACCAACAATTATTGTCTCATCTATTTTCCTAGTAAAAGAAAATAGAAAGAATAAAATGTGAAAATAGTTAAATAGTTCATCTTTTTCTGTAGGTGAGTCCAGGGAAATTTAGCGAGAGGGAGCTACTAGTCTTTCCTGGATATAAGGTAGGAAGTAATCAAGGAATTAAGTAACCAAGCAATTAAGTAATTAAGTAATCAAGCATTAAATCAGTTATACCAACAATAAATCAATCAATTAATCAAGCAAGCAAGCAAGCAATAAAGTAATTAAGCAATAAAGTAATTAAGTAATCAAGCAATCAAACAATAATGTCATTAAGCAATCAAGCAATCAAGTAATTAAGCATTAAAGTAATTAAGTAATCAATCAATTAAGTAATTAAACATTCAATCATTTACGTAATCAAGTAATTGAGTAATAAGTAATCCAGCAATAAAGCAATAAAGCAATTAAACATTTAAGCAATCAATTAAGTAATTAAGAATAAAGCAATCAAGCAGTCAAGTAATTTAGTAATCAAGCATTTTATCAGTTAGGTAATCAAGTGATTAAACAATAAAACAATTAAACAATTAAGCAATTAAGTAATTAAGTAATCAAGTAATCAAGCCTTTAATCAGTTGTGTAATCAACTAATCAAGCAGTGAAGCAATCAAGTAAATAAGTAATCAGGTCATTAAGTAATTCAGCCTTCAAAAAAAAAAAAAAATTTAATCCATGAACTTATCAATTTAAAAAAAATGTTTAAATATATGCATTTATATCTTCAAATAATATTGATATTTTAAAGATTAGGCAAGTAGTATCTTGAAAAATGTAATTTATTTATTTTATTAGTTGATGTGCAGCTCTTGAAATTTTTAAAAATCCAAAAAATCTCTCCTTTCTTTCTATTTTGTTCTCAGAGTTTTTAATGTAACAGTTTTAAATTCTTAGTTTAAAATTGTATGTTGGAAGTATTCAGTTTATTTACTTATCTCCTTTATTTAGTTTGCGCCCCGATGTATAAATGTATTAATTTAAAATTATAGGTTGGAAGTATTCAGTTTATTTATTTATCTCCTCTATTTTGTTTGCTCCCCGATGTATTAATGTATCAATTTAAAATTATAGGTTGGAAGTATTCAGTTTATTTATTTATCTCCTCTATTTAGTTTGCGCCCCGATGTATTAATGTATCAATTTAAAATTATAGGTTGGAAGTATTCAATTTATTTATTTATCTCCTCTATTTAGTTTGCGCCCCGATGTATTAATGTATCAATTTCAAATTATAGGTTGGAAGTATTCAATTGATGGATATTCATAATCTTACGAAAGTCAGCAGTGCTCCAACATGCCTTAACGCTCACAAGTAAGTTTGTTAAATGTTTACACTTTATTCAATACAGGACTTTTTTCCAGTAATTTTATTTTATTTGTTATTATTACCTATTTTCCCTAGGTTAACACTTTGTGCGCTCTATAAATTATTCTTTTTTTAATTAAAAAACATTTTTCAAATTTAAATATATATCATTAGTAGAAGCTTAAAATATTATGTGCAAAGAGGCTAAAACTTTTTGAATTGAAGTTTATCTGATTATATAAATATATACAGTAAAGCAATAAAGGAGATAATAAAAAATTAAGGAAAAAGTTATTTGTGTCCAACGACCTATTTCAATCAACTAATGGGCAGTGCGGCATGAGTGAAACCAACTCAGCGCTGTTATGATTTAAAATATAAAAGTTTGAACCTCAGGACCGAGCTGACCTGCGTAGGGATAAATCAGCATGGAACTATGGTGGCTACAGCCAGTACTAAGGTAACTTTTTCGGTCACTTCAAAAAGTCATTCAATATTCTTGTTTGATTTTTTGCAAGTTGAACTAAAACTTTTTCATTTCTTTTATATTAAAAAGTAACACTTTAAGCCACAACCTTATAATTTACTTTGGGGTGACGCAAATTCCTATGGAATGTTTACATTACAAAGTTCAATGTAAGATGTGTAGATAATTAAGACATTATTAGTATTATTTTTTAGATTTATTTTGTCTTAAAAAGTAATATTATTTTTTTAATGGAAAATTTGGCTTTTACAGTTAACAAACATTTCTCTCTTTCTCAGGACATAAGAAAATATTACTCGAGCTCCAATCCAAATAGAAAAAATCATTTTCTCCCACTTTGTTGGCTTTTTATTTACTGTAAAAGGTTATACTGCTGCCATAGAGGCCAGGCAAACGAAACCTCCGGAATATTTTTCTTTTTAAAGGTCGTGCAAAGTGAGAAATAGTGACCCACCATTTATAGAGAAGCTTATTCGATTCACAGCCCCACCTTTCCTTTCTTTGTCTTATCAGAAATAAATAAAACCATGATTTATTTTCTCTTATAAAAATTGAAAATTTAGAAAAACAACCATATCTTCCGCAATATTTATCAGAAAACGGTTTAAAGTGAACTGCTATGAATCAGGCATAGGGGTTACTTAAAATTTCAACGCCAGGGGCCATCATTCAAACAATAATTGTTTAGGGAACCCTGATTCGTATTTGGGATACAAGCAAGCGTGTTCAGCTGGTAGAACTTAGACGAGGAGCTGACCCGGCCCGGATATACTGCATCAACTTTAGGTACTTTAAGTAATCAAGCAATCAAACAATAATGTCATTAAGCAATCAAACAATCATGCAATCAAGTAATTAAATAATTAAACAATTAAACATTCAATCAGTTACGTAATCAAGCAATCGAGTAATCAAGTAATAAAGTAATCAAGTAATCAAGTAATCAAGTAATCAAGCAATAAAGCAATAAAGCAGGGTGCACTGAAAATCAGCCTATCTAAAAAATTCCTATCAGCTTTTTTGTGTAAAATGGAATTCTATAAACATTCTTTAAAAATGATTTTAATCGTTTACATTTTTTAAAAGATTTAATAAAAAACTGTGCTATAGATGAATTAGGGTCTTACAATTAGTTTTATGCTTTTTTTTAAAGTGTTAATGTTCATTAAATTTTTAAACCACTTAAAAACTGGATTCTATATTGAATTTAGCTAACATTTAATCTTGACACCATTTTTTGTCTAAGTAGTTTTTTGAACATTATTAAACTACGAATTTGTAAATCAAGAAATTTTCAAATAAAAAATCTGAAAAATTTTCTTTTTCAGTAAACAAATGATGTAATCTCTATTTGCACTCTTCAGTCTGAAAGACAAGTCTAAAAAAGTGTTTTCGTATGTGTTTTGATTTAAACATTATAGTTTTATACAAGGGGAAACGAAACTTTGTGATAATTTTGAGGTTTTTTAAATTCTAATTTATTTTTAACTTAAAGGGACTGTACGCGTAATTTTAAGTGACCCTCCATGCAATGGCAAATAGCAATACCCGATTCACAACGGTACCGTAAAAATCTTTGTCTGTTTAAGGATGAATATATGAAAGATATCCATGTTTTTGTAATTCTTTCTACTATTTTTTTATTTGCTGATTATCTGCTAAATTAACTTGCGCATTTCTTGGGAATAAGGAGTAAGGGGGAATATATCAGAATTAAACACTTTTCTAATTTTGAAAACGACGATATCTTCCACATTTTGATCAGAGAAAGGTTTCAAGGGTACCGTTGTAAATCGGGCATCGTCATCTTCACATAGAGGGCAACTTGAAATTACGCTTACAGTCCCATAAAGCAAAATTTTATTCCTTGCTCACTGATAACATTTATCATAATGGTTATTTTTTATTCGTAACTCACATGTACGAAAATAAATATTGGCTGTCAGGTTATTTTTCAAGGTTATTATTTTAGTTTAACAGACGAATGGCTCTGCTGCTCAAGTGATAAAGGGACCGTTCATGTTTTTGCCCTTCAGGACTACAGGTAAAATATCAGGGCAGAAAAAGTTTAAAAATTAAATACTTCTTTTTTGAAGGAGATTTGGGATTAATACTGTAAAAACAAAGCTGGAATTATAGAACCTCAATCTTTAAATTAATCCACTTCCATAGATTTGAAAAGCTAGATTTGTTATAGAAAACTCATTTAAATAATAAATATAAAGGTTAAATAAAAGATCAGCTTTGGCTACAATGGGTGTACCTGGAGCATACGCTGGTTCACAGTGGTCCTTGGCATCGTTCACTGTTCCTCAGGTAATAATTAGCGGTCATTATCGGTCAAAACTTGTAAGTGTCATAATTCAAATTGATTAGAATTTCTCAAATTATTGGGAAAAAAATTCAAACGAAAAATTCCAGTTTTATTCTCTTAAATATTTCTATGTTTATTTGGAAAGAAAAATGTCCCACACCCCTAGAAATACGGGAAAATATCTACGATTACAAATGGCAATTGTCAATAAATACCTATTTCAGGAATGTGCGTGTATTTGTGCTTTCGGGAACCATAACAGTATCCATGCAGTTTGTATGGATGGGAGTTATCATAAATACAGTTTCTCACCAGGTAATCAAATCATTTATTTAGAAATAAATAATATTAAAGGGAGTGTTTGTGAAAAATAGACTGTACTCACAGCCAGTTATACCTTAGTTTCACTTAAATTGAGAAACCAATTCCTCTCAGGTGTCTTTGCAAGCTGTCGCATCTCAGGACGAGAATTTTTGGTTTAATGCCGACAGATTTGTAATGTATTTTAAAATCCCCAAACATTTTGGCGAACACTCTTTTTTTATTAAATCATTAATTATTCAGAAAAATTTCTTCTTCCATGCAACAATTAAATATAGTTCAATAAATACTCCATTTGGCTTCCACCAGTGTTTAGGACCCGGATCCAAAACTTTTTAGCTCCCTGGATCCGGATCCTAACCTTTTTAGCTCCCTGGATCCGGATCCAAATGACACAAGATTATCCAACAATTGTTTCAAAATTCCAATTTTTCAACTAGAAAAGTTAAATCAAAAATAAAGTAGCAAAATGGAAAATGAAACCTTAAGAAAATTATTTTCTGAGTTATTATTATCATTCAACCTACAATCTGTAGATTTATTTAGAAATAAACGGCCTAAACACGGATACATTTTTTTCACAGGACTACAGGACTTTCATCCAAAAATCAACTACTAAAATTTAGCAAATTTTTTTTTCAGATGGTATTTGCAACCAGGCTGGTTATGACGTCATCACGGAACTTTGCGAAGATTGCGACTGGCATGCCATGCGCGGAATAAAATAGATATTTTACAAAAACTACAGTCATCGTCTTATATATCATTACTTTAAAGACGAATTTAGATTTCTACAAAGCTTTCAAACAAAATGGATTGGATACACAAACATGGAAGCTATGAGAAGCTGTCAAAGAACAGATTCTTTTTGTTTACTTCTAGTTTTAAAATTTAAGTAGAAAAGTCGTTTTCATTGTATTGATCTAAAGACCGACCAATGAATATAAATTAATTTTACACACAAAAAGAATTTTAATCAATAAGTTTTTGCCTACTTCCAAAATCACATAGATGCTCTGCTTGTATAGAAAATTTGTAACACAAAATATACATATATTCTTTTTTACTGAAATCTTGAAAAGTTGAAACATAATTTAAACCCTAATAACACGTTCCTGTATAGTATGTAATAACATAGATTAATAAATACATTCTGAGTTCAAAATATCATTTATTTGTTAGATGTATTGATAATTTAGATTAGACGTGTTGGGATTAATATTTGTCATTTTAGATCATAAGTTTTTTTAGATATTGATCCTATTGCTCTATATAAAATTTTATATATTGATGGTCAATACTTCAAGCTCTTTAATTTTTATATTAATGCCAATACTTGCAAGATTTTTATTTTAGATATTTAGCTTAAAGCTGTAATGAAGAGGTTGTAAAAAGTATATCTGGCTTGTCTGTCGAGTCTGTCAGTTTGAATCGGAAAAGCGTCAAAGCGGCTGAACCGATTAAGCACACATTTTTTGTGGGAACTCACATAAACCAGGGATAATTATACTGAATTTCCTTTTTGTTATCTTACAATTTGGGTTGTTAGTTTTGGTTTGTTTTTAAAGGGAGTGTCTGGCTTGACATGGTAGTTAAGCTGAAAATGCAGTATTAAAGAGATTTTTTTTTAGGATTCATTTGAGACTTATCAGACGTTTTTACGGTAAGTATTTCGTTCAGCAAGAACGGAAATTCAATATTTAAAACTTATCAAAGATTGTCCATTTTGGAGGGATGATTTTGAGAATCAGTTTTTTTTATTATTAATTGACTACGAAAAATGTAACAAAAATTCTTCAGTAAACTAATTAGTTCTTAAGGAACAGGTTGAGAAAATAAAAATTAACCCTAATCATTGAAAATAAGTAATCTTATTAAGATATTAGTTTCTGTAATTTCGCAATGTATACACATTATTGTATCTCTTGCATGCAGAAAGATCAGCACAAAAGAGTAATACTTAAAGTATAATAAGAAGTTTCGAAAGTTTTATCTAGGTTAATTAAATCTGATTGTATGGCTTTACAAATGCTTAGAGATCTTTCAATGCTTTTCATTTGAAATTAAATATTTTTAAAATATGAAATTGTATCTCAACAAGCGCATATTGGTCGAATAGAAAATTTCATTCAGAGCTACTCACAAAGGAAGAGACTTTACGGACGACTGTTGTCTTCATGACTTCCCGCAACCGTTAACTTTTTTCTATGGTAAAAGAATTAAATTATCCCTCAAAGCAGAATCCTCATATTTAACCTTGGGATCGTTATATTTGTTTTAGGTCGTCTTTACGGTAAACCTGTTAATATACAGTGTCCCACGTCATATTAGATAGTCAATTAGTCGATGTTACGATTTTCGAGACTAATCAGAAAATTTAAGAAGAATGGATAATTTTGAAAAATTTGATAAGAATTTCCTTGCGGAAAATGCTAGGGTTTTCGAGTATTATGGCTTTATTTTGGTGTTAAAACTTGGAGATTATCTAATGTGATATAATTTAATGATATGGGACGCTCTGTATTAAAAATGAGTCAACATCTTAGCGTGTTACAAATGGTTCAGCAGACAATCATATTAAAAGATATATATTTCAAAGACTATTTTGAAAAATTCCTCTTTCTTCTCAATCTAATTTTTAAAACCTTTTATTCTTACAATTACAAACCAAACATAACAATATTAAAAACAGCTTAGCTTTTTAAAATTTAGAATTATAATATATTTTTAGATACATTGCAAGGTCAAAACTATTGTCTGAACTAGCGCTAATCTTCGAGGACAACAATTAAATTCTAATCTCTCAATTATAGTTATTCCTTCCTGGATATCCACGAGGAATTATAATCCGTGGGATTTCACAAGGTACGGAAACTATTTTATCCCGGTGCGGTGTTATTTCTGGGTAAACGTTAAATAATGATAGTGCACTCTACGTAGCAAATTTTCCGCGGCATCCGCGCATATTTTTGCAGTTTACGGCAATGTGAACAACAGAAATATGGTATTTTATCTGAAATTTCAAAATTAGAATTTATATTTATACACTTAAAATATACACTTATACACTTTATACTTTATAATGTGAGTACAGAAGTAATTAACTTACATTAAACTCTCATTTGTTGCAAGTATCAGAATCTTAACAATTAACTTACGTAAACTAAGCAGTGAGCTGTATAGATATTTTACAAAAACTACAGTCATCGTCTTATATATCAGTACTTTAAAGACGAATTTAGATTTCTACAAAGCTTTCAAACAAAATGGATTGGATACACAAACATGGAAGCTATGAGAAGCTGTCAAATAACAGATTCTTTTTGTTTACTTCTAGTTTTAAAATTTAAGTAGAAAAGTCGTTTTCATTGTATTGATCTAAAGACCGACCAATGAATATAAATTAATTTTACACACAAAAAGAATTTTAATCAATAAGTTTTTGCCTACTTCCAAAATCACATAGATGCTCTGCTTGTATAGAAAATTTGTAACACAAAATATACATATATTCTTTTTTACTGAAATCTTGAAAAGTTGAAGCATAATTTAAACCCTAATAACATGTTCCTGTAAAGTAAGTAATTAAATAGATTATTAAATACATTCTGAGTTCAAAATATCATTTATTTGTTAGATGTATTGAGAATTTAGATTAGACGTGTTGCGATTAATATTTGTCATTTTAGATCATAAGTTTTGTTTAGATATTGATCCTATTGCTCTATATAAAATGTCTTTAATTTATATATTGATGGTCAATACTTCAAGCTCTTTAATTTATATATTAATGCCAATACTTGCAAGATTTTTATTTCAGATATTTAGCTTAAAGCTGTAATGAGGTTGTAAAAAGCATATTTACTTCGCTTGTCTGCAGTGTGTATCCGAACCTTGCGGAGGAAGAGTGTCAGCAGAGCTTTCTAAGCCTGTTGAGAGAAAGGGCGTTGTACTTGTATCTAGTCTAGATAGCAAGGACACTTCTCTCCACAACTGAGTGGAAAGAGTGATTTATCCCGAACAAGATATAGTAATAAAGATGAATACAGAAGGAATACAGAAACTCAAAACATCAGGGATGAAGTACACGCTAATACAGGTTTTAAGGGGCAACAGAGCCTTCAATAGACTTTAAATCAAATACCATAAACTGGTTTTTCACCCTTCTCACAATGGAAACTGGATTACTCATGGAAGACCTCTGAAAATGATAGACAAAAGACACACTCCCTGTGTTTTAAAGCGATGGGACAGCATGCTTAGCGGGTTATTTTTTCTTTAAAAAATCTGTCCACGTGGGAATACACGTTAAAAGTGAGGACTATGGTATTTCTCATACCTGTTACCCTTACACCCCCATCCTTATCCGCCTACCTCCTAAATTCCAACCTTATCCTACTTCACGAGCTGATTTAGTGGAACTCAGAAACTGCTTTGCTGTGGAATCTTAATCAAAACTTCCTCCCAGTTTCAACCTAGGCGGTTCTCTCTAACTTCTTCTAGATACTACAGGATAGTTACGTTTTTATTTTATTTTATCTTA